ACAGAGTAGAACGAAGGGTGTCGTGCCACTCACGAGGAGCCTGACGGAGACCGTAGACCGGTCGCCTCAGCCTCCACTGAGTCCCACGAGGGAAAGTGCCAGTGAAGGCAGAGGGACGACGCAACCAGACCTCCTCGTGTAGGCTACCCTGAAGGAAGGCAGTGGAGAAGTCGAGAGAGTGTAGCTCGTAGTCTCTCTGTGCTGCTACGTGCAGTAACACCCGAAGAGTGGTCATCTTCGGGGTAGGCGCGAAGGTCTGAAAGAAGTCGACTCCCTCGCGCTGACTGAAACCTCTAGCCACGTAGCGCGCCTTGAAGACCGGAGGAGATCCCGGTGGCCGCTTCACCCTGTAGATCCACATGCCATCGACTACGTTCGCCCCAGGGGGGGGGACCTCGTCGACAAAGGTGCCTGTGGATCTGTAGGAGGCCATCTCTGCGTCCATGGCAGCTCTCCACTAAGAGGCCCAAGGCCCTGACACTGCCTCAGCGTAAGTGTGAGGAGTCGGTATGTCAAGGGCGTCGGGGTCTCCCTCAGAGGCGAGCAACATGGCACAGAGATGAGGGGAAGTGGAGGCCAGGAACTCTAGCTCAAACTGCCTGTCCTCTAGGGCGTCACAGCCAAGGGCAGACTCACCCCCGACGGCTAGAGGACTGGTAGGAGGAGCAGCCACAAGACTGGTGGCGTAGTCAAGGCGGCGAGTAGAGGCAAACTCAGTGACTGCGGCAGTAAGAGCGGAGACAGAGGACACAGAGGCACGAGGGTCGGTAACAAGAGAGGCGAGAACACGAGAGAGAACAGGACGGTACGTGCGGTAGTAGTCAGTGACAGGAGTAGAGAGGGAAGCAGTGAGGGCCGACTCAGGAGGAGAAGGAAGGAGAGACGGGGACAAACGAGGCGGACTAGAACGAAAGAGGGCAGTACGAATGTCAGTAACGAGAACAGGAGACGAGGGACGAGCACGAGGAGAGCGACGAGAGGCCCAAGTCTGAGAAGGAGGAGGGGACAACAGAGGCTGAAAACGAACTGGGGAAAACAGCGGGGGAGGAGTCAGGAGGAGGAAACGTGGGACCGTAGACAGGAGGAGAGGGGGAGGAGGAAGGAGAGCGAGAGGGGAGACCGAGGGTCCGAAGACCAGAGACAAGAGGAGGAGGGGGCGACTGAAGCTGCTCTTGCTGTGGCTGCGACCGCTGCACCTGCTGCTGCTGCTGCTGCCGCTGCTGCTCCTGCTGCTGCGGCTGCTGCTGCTGCTCCTGCTGCTGCTGCTCCTGCTGCTGCTGCTCCTGCTGCTGCTGCAGCTCCAACTCTCTCTCCTCTCTCTCCAACTCCAGCTGCTCCTCACGGGCACGGCGAACACGAGCCTGGAGCCGAGTCGAGCAGGGGTGGGGAGGAGGAGTAGTGTCCGGGGCAGCGGTAGCTCTAGCACCACTCTCCAAAGCACCAGACACGTCACCCCTAGTGCCAGTACCACTAGCAACAACACGGCCAGACTCACCAGGGCCCGCGGAGGGCGCACCCGCACCCCCAGTCGTAGTACCCTCAGGGTCAGCGCGACCAACACCAGCTCTCGGAAGACTAGAGTCTCCTGCAGCCACGGACTCAACTCCAACTCCAGCATCCCCAGAACTAGGACCCAACACAGGGACGCTCTCAACTAAAACCCCAACACCGCGAGAGCCAGCACCCCTAGCGGCCTCGCCACAAACACCGTCCCCCGCAAGGTCTGCTGCAGGCTGTGGGGAGGACTTCAGGGAAGGAGACCACACCTGAGGGGCAACTAAGGGGGGAGGGGTAGCGTGGGAAACACGGGAAACACCTGACGGGGCTGGACCAGGGGGGGAGGATGAATCGGGGAGGTCACCGGATGCGTGTGCCCACAGGGACTCATCTGCCTGCACCTGACTCCCTAGGAGACGCTGCGCACGCTGGAGCCAGACAGAGAACCCTAGGGGCCTACGCTCGGCGTCAAAGCGAAGGACCCTAGGGGTCGCCATAGCGAAAGCAGAAGCTACAAGACCGGCAGGGCGCAGTGGCAGGCGCTGCGGGCGGCACGGGTAGGGACAGCGGGCGGCGAGTGCAGGCCCGCAGCGGGCGCAAAACGCAGGCGCGGCGGGCGCCAGGGGCAGGCCCGTGGCGGGCGTAACTGACAGGCGCGGCAGGGGAGAACGGGTTGGCGCGGCGGTGCGAAGGGAGAGCCCGTGGCGGGCCGACCAGGTAGGCGCTGCGGTGCGAAGGGAGGGCCCGCGGCGGGCCTAACGAGCAGGCGCGGCGGCGCGAAGGGAGGGCCCGCGACAAGCGTAACGCGCGGTCGCGGCGGCGCGACGGGAGGGCGTAACGGGAGACGCGCGCGACGGACGATCAGGGGAGGCGCGCGGGACGGACGGGCAGAGGAGGCGCGCGCGACGGGACGTGCAGGGGGAAGCGTAGGCGACGGACGGGCAGGGGGAAGCGCGGGGGACGGACGGGGAGGGGGAAGCGCGGGGGACGGACGGGCAGGGCGGAGACGCGACGCTAGCAGAAGGTGCAGCGGGCGCTAACGAACGAGAGAGACGGGCGGCGCTAGGCTCGGGCGGCGCCAGGCTCGGGCGAGACAGGCGCTACTAGGACTACGGAACGAGACAGGGTCAGGCGGAACGAATGTGGACGGGAGGAGCGGGATCCCACAGGATCCTAAACTAACTGATACCATGTTATAAACTGAATGATGGTTCATTGATGTGGGTTGGGGTACATATAGCAAACCCTAACATTTGTACCCCCTAAGACAAGCCTCACTACAGGCTCCAACATTTGACATTTTATGCCACTCACGAGGAGCCTGACGCAGACTGTAGACAGGCCGTTGTGCGGCAGCAACAGTGGTGCGCGGTGGCAGTAGCAACAGCAAGCGTGCGGTAGCGGCAGGCACGTGGCAGTAGCAGCACCATCAGCATCGCACTGTGGCAGCGGCTGCGGTGCGGAACGGGCACAACGGCAGAGCCTTGACGAGGGAGCGGTAGGGTGGGGTGTTAGGGAGGGGCGTGAGGGGCGCCGCTAGAGGGGCGCTAGAGGCAAGAAGAACCAGGGCCCAAAATTGGCTCTATGCCACCATGGCCCATGAGGGTTTCAACCATGCCAACCGTGATTGTTAGGGTGATCATGTTTCTAGGCCGATAAATGTTGGAAACAAGTGATTTAACGCTTCTTGTGTGTTGCAACATTGAACTGCAAACGAGGCGAACTACAGTGCAGCAACATCCGGTGAGTCAACCGAGGAGGTTGACAGAAAAGTAACAGCCGGAGGTTACGCGAAGGTCAAAGGTCAGCGACCTTTGACTCGACAGTACAGCGCGACAGCAAGGACAAACAACTGACTCGCTATTGAGCAGTTGCCCGAGTCGTCACTGTATCGAACCGCAACAGCAGAAGTTACAATTGCTGTTACAAATAGCAGTTAAACTAAAACCTTTCGTATTCTCTTGTAATCATATAAAAGCTTGTATCTCTTTGCTTTAATCAATCTATCTTGCCCTCACATACCAGCGCAAGGTGGTTCAACACTTGTCATTAAACGCTTCCGCAATCACCACATTCCTATCAAGAGTCCTAGCCTTGAAAAGATCCTAAAGGCTTTCTCAGCCCAACAACAAATATATATATTTATATATGTATATAAGGACAGACAATGTCAGGGTAAAAATAATGTTATAATGATTTAGAGAGTTTTGTGTAGGTAAAAATGGTTGCAATGTTATCTCGGGGTTTAAATGGTTTTGAATCATAATGAAAGAACAGCGAACAATCTAACCAATAGCATGCACACTTGGCTATACAACACCCTCTAAAAACGGATTGTTACTTTCGTTACTCCCACTGAAGTCCCTGTTGGAGCATCTTAGTTCTCTCTTCGAAACCGGGAGATGACCTTACACCAGTAACATCATCGGCGACAACTTTTCTGGCATGTCTACTTGCCATGCTAGCAATATTGATGCTACAATAAACATCTCTTGTCCATTTGACACCACCACGATATGCCACGATCTCGGTAAAGCGTCATTTATTGTCGTCCAACTGCACAAGAGGGGGTTTGCACTAAGGTGAGATGTTTTAGCGTCTGAACAGGTTAAACATACACAAACACAAAAATAAAAGGAAAAAAGAAAAAAACATTATGGTAAGAGGAAACACATGATAAAGTGCCCAATGCATAGCTTATGTATACCTGTCCTCCGTCAATTTCACGGGGTGAAAATCTCGAATCGCGTGAATGATTGCCTAAGAGGGCGTGAAATTACACAGAGCAATCAAGTCCCCCTTAATTTCACACCCTAGCCTGAAAGTCTGTTGTTGACATGGACAAAAAGTGCATTACGATCTCTATAATTTTTTCCATCTATTGCAAAATCACCACGTCAGGATTGTGCGTGGTTGGAATCCACCCGAAAGAAAATCAAGGCCTCGTCTATGTATGTTTCTGGGGTTTTTGTGTCTGCCTTTCAAGCGTCACAGGTTTGTTACAGGACGTAACTGAAATTTTTAGCATTTGTTGATTTGGCACGAAGGCGACTCCCACGATCTGAAGTCCCCCTACACAACCAAAAGCTCAAGCATCCAAGTCACCCCCTCCAGTACAAATTGCGTCATTTCTGTGGGGGAGGGGGGGTGTAGATGTTCAACCACACTTTGGCAGCTCGGCTACCAAAGCGCGATATGAAATAAAGAGTAGTGAAAACAGCGGAGAACAGGTGTAACTAATTATAATGCAAATCAAGGTTCAAGATGGATGAATGTACACAAAATATAACTTGGTTGGGAGCACATTCCAAGATTTGCGAAGTTTTCGCCAAGTCTAATTCGTAGTTTGAAATGTATTTTGCTCGGAAGCATAGTGTGTCGGAGTTTTTTCTCAATTGTCGCCACCGAAACGAACTCAACAAGATCAAGTGATGCGACCATAAGGAAATGAAAGCATACCACCAGTGAAATATAGTAAACAAACTAATGGAAAAAATGTTTATTTATATGCTATAACATTGGTATCCATCTTCAGCTTGTGTCATCCCTTCCTCCCAATCGTCCATCTTTGAACCGCCTACAGTCACCTTCTTTATACCCACATGGCTGCAATAACAGAAACAAGAGGGGTAGAGGCACACACATCAACACCGCGGTCACACCACCTGGCTTTCATTGATGCCAAATTAGAAAAAAACCACAGCTGCAGGATGATACAAGTGCTACGCGGGATTGAGGAATGAAAATACCAGCGCAAGTGCAACGAGAACACGAGCGCAGCGACTACACTCGTGCTACTAGCACATGTGCCCGTGCTTGTGCTTGTGCTTGTGCGTGTGCGTGTGCGTGTGCTTGTGCGTGTGCGTGTGCTTGTGCTTGTGCTTGTGCTTGTGCTTGTGCTTGTGCTTGTGCTTGTGCTTGTGCTTGTGCTTGTGCGTGTGCGTGTGCTTGTGCGTGTGCGTGTGCTTGTGCGTGTGCGTGTGCTTGTGCTTGCGCTTGCGCTTGTGCTTGTGCTTGTGCGTGTGCGTGTGCGTGTGCGTGTGCTTGTGCTTGTGCGTGTGCGTGTGCGTGTGCTTGTGCTTGTGCTTGTGATTGTGCGTGTGCTTGTGCTTGTGCTTGTGCTTGTGGTCTTTCAGAGCGTACCAGGTGTGTAGAAGGAAATAGCTTGCTGTGAGGTGATTTCGGAGTCGACGATGCAAAGGGCGTACCCGGTGTCGAGAATAAAATGGCTTGCTATGAGGCGGCTTACAGGCAAAAGATGAGTCCAGTCCACTCCTCCAGCCAACTTACTCTGAGCTCACAGCATTGAGGGAGTTGAGGAGAACGTCGATTGCCATCATGTGACTTTTGAGTCGACTCTAAAGCCACTCCACCCCTCCAGCCAACTTACTCTGAGCTCACAGCATTGAGGGAGTTGAGGAGAACGTCGATTGCCATCATGTGACTTTTGAGTCGACTCTAAAGCCACTCCACCCCTTCAGCCAACTTACTCTGAGCTCACAGCATTGAGGGAGTTGAGGAGAACGTCGATTGCCATCATGTGACTTTTGAGTCGACTCTAAAGCCACTCCACCCCTTCAGCCAACTTACTCTGAGCTCACAGCATTGAGGGAGTTGAGGAGAACGTCGACTGCCATCATGTCTGCTGTGCCCATGTCTAGCCTGGGGAGATGAAGAGCGTTTAAGGGAAAGTGGGTTTTGTGCGTGTGGAGGGGAGGGAGAGAGGGATGGGATGAGGGAGGAGAGTTGAGGAGAACGTCGATTGCCATCATGTCTGCTGTGCCCATGTCTAGCCTGGGGAGAAAGAGAGCGAGAGATGGTGAGGGAGAGAGTGGGAGGGATGGGGTGATAAATGATTGAGAAACAGCGATTACAATCATGTCTGCTGTGCCCATGTCTAGCCTGGGGATAGTCACGTTGTGCGAGTGTTTGGTTGTGTGTGTGTGTGTGGGAGAGAGGGAAGGGAGGAGAGGGGAGAGTTGAGAAGAACGTCAACTGCCATGGTGAGTGGGAGAGAGTTTGAGGGAGAGCTGGTGTGGGGGGGAAAAGGGGGGAGGGATGATTGAGGAGAGTCTGCCACGTGATAAAAGAGAATCTGTCCTAAGCAACAAGAGTTTGATGGAAATAAGGCCTCCGCAGCCCACCTGTACGACTTCGACAGTTTGAGGGAGAGCTGGTGTGGGGGGGGGAAAAGGGGGGAGGGATGATTGAGGAGAGTCTGCCACGTGATAAAAGAGAATCTGTCCTAAGCAACAAGAGTTTGATGGAAATAAGGCCTCCGCAGCCCACCTGTTCGACTTCGACAGTTTGAGGGAGAGCTGGTGTGGGGGGGAAAAGGGGGGAGGGATGATTGAGGAGAGTCTGCCACGTGATAAAAGAGAATCTGTCCTAAGCAACAAGAGATTGATGGAAATAAGGCCTCCGCAGCCCACCTGTTCGACTTCGACAGTTTGAGGGAGAGCTGGTGTGGGGGGGGAAAGGGGGGAGGGATGAGTGAGGAGAGTCTGGATTGCCATCATGCGGAGGACGGGGAGGATGGGGAGGATGCACTAGGAGCTCTCCAAGGGAGCTGGCTTTTGAGGCGCCTCAAAAGGGGGGAGGGATGATTGAGGAGAGTCTGGATTGCCATCATGCGGAGGAAAGGGAGAGCGGCAGAGAAAGGAGAATGTTGCTTGCCATCATGTCGGCTGTGCCCCATGTCTAGCCATGAGAGAGAGAGAGAGAGAGAGAGAGAGAGAGAGAGAGAGAGAGAGAGAGAGAGAGAGAGAGAGAGAGAGAGAGAGAGAGAGAGAGAGAGAGAGAGAGAGAGAAAGGTAGCTCGTGTGAGTGTGGTTTGACGAAGAAAAGAGAGAGGAGAGCGTCAATTGCCAACATGTCTGCTGTGCCCATATCTAACGTGGGGAGAGAGAGAGTGAAAGGCAGTGAGGGAGGCAAAAGGAAGTGGAGGGGAGAAGAGAACGAAAATGTGAAGTCCAATCATGTATGCTGTGTGGCACATGGTGGGCATCGGGCAAGCTGGGTGCCTTTTTTGAGTTGACTCAAAATTTTGAAGTCCCATCATGTATGCTGTGCGCATGTTTATTCTGGTGACAGTTTGAGACAGAGAAAGAAATCGTGCAGATGAGAGGTGTGAGCGACAAAGAGGATTCTAAGTGGCTTTTGAGTCGACTCAAAAGAGAGAGAGAGTAATCGTGCACGTGAGAGACAAGGAAGATTGTGTGAGTGTGCGCCGTCATGTCTAGCCTGGGATGAGAGAGTGAGATGTGTGCGTGTGCACACGCACGCAAGAGAGAGATATTGTCAGTGAGATAGTCCATCCCAGGTAACATGCAACATGCAACATGCAATACAACATGGAACTCCAGGTCCCAAATGTTGTGCATCATGTCAGGCAGGGCGGCTGCTGTGGTGCTTAAAAAGCTTCTGGTCACCACCTAGCTGGTAACCATGTGGTAACCACACAGTGAATCTCACCATATTCGTCCCAGGTTGTCTTGAAATTCCAGGTCGCCAATGTTGTGCATCATGGCTGGCAGGGCAGCTGCTGCTGTGCTTAAAAAACTTCTGGTCACCACCTAGCTGGTAACCATGTGGTAACCACACAGTGAATCTCACCATATTCGTCCCAGGCTGTCTTGAAATTCCAGGTCGCCAATGTTGTGCATCATGGCTGGCAGGGCAGCTGCTGCTGTGTCCACGTCGTACTTGTATTTTGATGACTCATCGCCTTCCATTAGCTGGGAGAATGATTGGCAAGTGGTGGAGGGCATAGGGGGAAGGGGAAAGCTGCACTGGAAGAGAGCAGCTGGCAGGGCAGCTGCTGCTGTGCCCACGTCGTACTTGTACTTTGATGACTCGTCTCCCTCCATTAGCTGGGGGGGAGGATGAAAGAGGGGGAATGGCAGGACCATGGTGGGACGACCCACTGCCATGGTGACCACACACCCACCCCTCCCTGTCACAGCCTGCCATGGTGGGTAGGCGACCGGTACAATACAAGGCTGCCTAGCCTCATACCTACAGGTTGGCCGAGTTGTAGCCTCCTAGCTTTCCCACCACGTACCATGCTCGAATGTCCTGGCATGAACACACGGTGACTGCACACATACCACCACTCACATCCCACATGCCATATCCCACCACTCACATCCCATATGCCATATCCCCACTATCCCCATGGTCACACCTGCAGGTTGGCCGAGTTGTAGCCTCCCAGCTTTCCCACCACATACCACGCTCGAATGACCTGCCGCCATCGCGTGGGTGGGGGGGAGGATTCTTCAGACGTCTCTGAAGGGAGGTGCGGAGGGGTTGTTACTAGTACGAGGAACAGAACCCCAAGAAAAGAGGAATTACAGGACACCACCAGAGAGAAAGTCGTTTTGAAGCACCTCGAACAGAGAAATTACAGGACACCAGGGGGGCAGTTGAACTAAGGATTGATCATGGCAGAGAGACTAAGGATGGGGATAGGGAGCGGGAAAACAAAGCCCCTTTCAATATAGTGCCCCTTTCTGAAACCCGACCACTCACGCTGCCAAGCGTATTCATTTCATCTTCTGATGGTGTCTTGTGCAGCTCGAACCAGATGTACATGTCAAACGGGTCGATCCTATAAAGAGGATAGGGATATGGAAGGGGGGAGGGGGAGGGGGTGGGGAGAGCAAGTGCATATAGCAAAAGGGGATAAGCAAGAGCAGCGCAAACTAGATGTACTTTTGATGATTCTCAAAAGTGATTTCAACACACATGGGCATGTCGAATGGGTCAATCCTAAAACGCGGATAGGGATAGAATAGAATCCGGGTACAGTGTTTCGTTTTGTTTGAACTTGTTTTTTTCACCTGGTCTTTGGATGGGCTGAGTGCTCCGACATGAAAGTGACTTGTGTGAGAAAAATTATGCTAGACGTGCAAAACTAGGTGAAATAAGACCGTAAATTACTGCCCTTGCTATAACTAACTACTTTCTTCATTTTACCCAGGGTGGGATAGTATCAAGAAGAAAAGGTGCAAAGCACGATACTTTTGAGACGTCTCAAAAGAAAGGGTGCAGAGCATGATACTTTTTGTAACAGGTCGAGCATGTTACTTTGCAATACACATTGAAGAAAACAGCTACTGAGCATGCTGTACCCCTAGTCCATTACACTACATACTCTTTAATGGCCACCTGCATGGTCGCTCCGCTGCCGCGCTTCTCTGCAAGCAGCTCTGCCTGCTTTGAGCGAATGCGCTCCTCCATCTGGCGGTAGATGGCGAGTGAGAGCGAATGTAGGGATAAGACGAGTCCAGGGGTTACAGACAGGGTTCAGAGTTCTAGTGGCGGGCTGCGGGTTACGACGGCGGCTCTGCCTGCTTTAATTGAATGCGCTCCTCCATCTGGCGGTAGGTGGGTGGGAGGTGTAACAGAGGGTAGAGAGGGGCCGAGAGAGGGGAGAGAGGGGAGGGGGGTTGAGGGCCAGGCTAGAGTAACGATGGCAGCTTCTCCTGCTGAAAGACTTTTGAAACGTCTCAAAAAATTTGAGACGACTTTTGAGACGTCTCAAAAACACTCTTCTTCACGGGGTTGAGGGCTAGGTTAGGCTTAAGATGGCAGCTCCGCCTGCATTCATTGATTTCATAGGGTGGCAGGGTGGCAGGGGGAGAGGGTGATCGAGGTGACTTTTGAGTCGACTGAAAAGTCACCTAGGGTGCCAGGGGGAGAGAGCGGAGTGGGGGGAGGGAGAGGGTTTGAGGTTTTGGTGTTCACAGTCGTGTACAGGAGGTAAGCGATCTAAGCTCGGGACTGAGGGTTAAAAGGAAGTAATTTGAGGTCAGGGGTGAGGGTTTAAGCAGTAAAGGGTTCAGGGCTGAACAGCAGTGCTCACCCTTCACTGCCACACCCCACCCCACCACACTCCACCCAACCCCACCGCACTCCACCCCAACCCGCCGCACCTCACCTTGTCTTGCATCTGCTGCGGGACCACCATGATGACTCCTCTCCTCTCAGCTCAACATTCTCGCAAGATTCGGCTGCACACAGAACCCACCCCACCCCACCATATCCGAGTCCCATCCCACCACACTCCACCCCATTTCACCGCACCTCACCTTGTCCTGCATCTGCTTCGGGTCCAGCATCGCATCTCCAATCATCCTTGTAAGAGTCTGCTGCAATTCACACCCCATTCCACCCCACCCCACCCCATCCCACCCTGTTGCGACCCATCTCCACCGCACTCCACCGCACTGCACCTTCTCACCTTCTCCTGCATCTGCTGCGGGTCCAGCATGGCATCGCCAAACATCTCCATGAGCTCGGGGTCGGGGTCCTGCGCTGCCACTTGGCTGCCAAAGAACAAACGGGGGGGGACAGGGGAGTAGAGTGGGGTGGAGTGGAGTGGAGTGGAGTGGAGTGGAGTGGAGTAGAGTGGAGAGGAATGGAGAGTGGTGGGGGTAGGTGGGGGTTAAGAGCAGATAGTCCAAGCAGCATGGCATCTCCAACCATCTCCATCAGCTCGGGGTCTTGCGCTGCTACCTGGCTGTGGTATGCATCAAGGGGAGCAGGAGGAGGGTGGGGGTGAGAGGAAAAGGGGAAGGGAGAAGGGGGTGATGCAAACAGCATGGCATCTCCGAACATCTCCATCAGCTCAGGGTCTTGCGCTACCACGTGACTGTCAACGAACAAAGGGGGAGTGGAGTGTGGTGGAGTGGAGTGGAGTGTGGGTAGGTGGGTGTTAAGAGCAGCCGCTCAACCAGCATGGCATTCCCAAACATCTCCATCAGCTGGGGGTCCTGCGCTGCTACCTGGCTGCCAAAGCATTAAGGGAGAGGGGAGTGGAGTGGAGTGGAGTGGAGTGGAGTGGAGTGGAGTGGAGTGGAGTGGAGTGGAGTGGAGTGGAGTGGAGTGGAGTGGAGTGGAGTGGAGGGGAGTGTGCGTGGGGTTTAAGCGCACACAGTTCAGTGCAGCATCTCCAACCATCTCCGCCAGTGCAAGGTCCTATGCTACTACTAAGTGATAAAACAGGGAGTTTTTTAGAATTCTAAAAAACTCACTACTTAGTGATAAAAGAAGTGTTTTGAGACGTCTCAAAACACTCCGTCAGCGCAGGGTCCTACGCTGCTACTTGGCTGAGTTAGAAGAAAAAGAAGCCACGGGGGAGCAAGCAAGAAGGGTCAAGGGGGAGCAAGCAAGAAGGGTCAAGGGGGAGCAAGCAAGAAGGGTCAAGGGGGAGCAAGCAAGAAGCAGGGGAAGCGGAGGTGAGAGGTGAGGGGTGTACGGAAAGGGGAAGCAGTGGAAGCGGTAAGAGGTGGGGGGGGAGGGAGAAGGGTCAGCATGACATCTCCAAGATTTTTCCATTAGCCCCTGTACGCACTTGTTGCTGTCACTCCCGCTCTTAAACCCAAACCCAGAACACCTCTTCCCCTCCGCCCTTCCATCCCCTCCCCCTTCCATCCCCTTCCCATCCCGTTCCCCCTCTCCCTCCATCACATTCTTCGTCGCTCGCCCCCCCTCTCACAGTGCCCACTGCTGAAATTCCTCCTCCGCGGACTCCCTCCGCTGCACTTTGGTCTTCCCCATAACACTCATCCCCCCCTCCCCCCACTTCCCCCCTCCCCCCCTCACCGCGCCCACTGCTGAAATTCCTCCTCCGCGGACTCCCTCCGTTGCTCGCGTGCCTCCCGCGATTTCTCCAGCCGCCGCTGCCGCGCTGCGCTCATCCCCTCCGCGCCCCCTCCCCCGATCCGCCTCCGCTCGCCGCCTCCGCCGCCGCTTATCCCCGCGCTTCCCTCTCCGCCAATCCACGCCCTTCTTTCTCCGCCCATTCCCGCGCTTTCTCCTCCGCCCAAAATCCCTCCGCCATTCGCCTCCATTCCTCCCTGCCATTCCCCTCTGCGAAAAGGGTTACCACCGCTGCTGCCATCCGAACTTTGAGGCGAATCTGGATCCGAACTTTGAGGCGATCCTATATCCGGACCGCCACCGAGCCTCGTTCGCCTTCTCTGCCGCCCACGACGGGGCGATTCGGCCGCGTCTTCCGCCGCGTCTCGCGCCGCGTCCTGCGGGGACGTGCTTCCGTCCCGCCCCTCCGCCGCCGCCGCGTCGGCGGTGAGGATTAATCGACCGCGTCTCCCGCGCGGCCCGGAAAGCGGCGGACGTGGGCATGGCTGAAGCGCAGACGGCGGAAAAAAAGGCTGTTGGGGGAGTTTTGCGGCGGATGCGGTCGCGGCGCCGCGGCGAGCGCTAAAGGCGGCGTGAGACACGGCCGCCGCCGAGGCGCCTCGTGCGAGTATGGACAGCATTACGTGCACTTAAAACCAGGGTATCACGTAAGAAAAATCGTCATCAACTGCAAAAGATTCGAAGCTTCGTCACCCTGTTTGAGGTGGCGAAGTCCATGGCCCTGTTCGGTAGCCCCCCCAGTCACACTGCGGTTGGTGCAGGTGATCTTCCGTGGCCAAATTTCGATACCCCTTAAAGCCTACCAAATCGTTATTAGAACACCAAACCTGCCCAGTGCGAGTTGTCTACCGAACGCGTCATAAACCCAACCGAGTGCAGGGGAGGACACTACCACGAAATTGGCGTGCCCATGCAAATTTGACCGTCAGGGGGTGTCCAGCGCGTACATTTACAGCTCAGAAACCAGCTCGGTTACCACATTTCGGGCTGTAACACTGCCTCTTACAGAAATTTTAGACACGATCAGCTTTTGTTCACAAGACGGCACACCCCCTGCACGTACATCGAGTCGTCTGACTCACGTTGCTGAAATCAGCATGCGCGCGAACAAGGGTACAGAATTGCGTCCTGCCCACTACAGTAATTTTCGCTCAAGCGTGAAATTTTCGCTTGCGCGAGAATTCGTGCGCGACGATTGACGAGGGAACAAGTAAACTCGGTCTCCATGCGATCGGAGCACTGTAGAAATTTGCGTGTGGGCAGGTTAGTCCGCGCACTCGAACGCACAGCCAGTATGGACTCAACCCACACTGGATTCGTTTTTAGGTACAATGAGCTTTTTTGAACTGCGAGACGTGAGAAGGTACTAGATTCCCCAAAATGTACGCGCTGGTCACGCCCTCAGTGCAAGTCCATCCCATTTCAGCTTTCCAGTTCCACTCAGGCCGGCCCACTCTGAGTGGAATGTTGGAGGGTATACGCTGCATTAGTGTCTTTTCGGGCCGAATAAATATTTTTAGTCCGTTCAATAAAAAACGACGAGAGATCGTGCTCACAGTCCGTTTTTTTTTCATCCATAATGAGGGGAAACCATTTGGCGGGCTGATTTCTTGTATGTGGGTGGGGCAGCAGGCCAAATTCGGTAAGCAATTTCTCAACAAACACGAGGTAACTTCTTGCAACTATGGATGAAACTTCATTCTAGTGCGAGTGGAGGCCCGAGGCTACGAAACAGACCAGAGGCTTCCCCAGTTCGAGTGGGCCCAGTGTGACTGGGAGGCTACCGAACAGGGCCTATGGGTTGGTCTGGCAATTGACTGTGACACCTCACGTTTTTGCCTCGATGAATTGCAAAACATTTTGATCTCTACATTAGACTCAGGACGCGGTGAAAGTACACGAATGATCGTCAGTCGCGATCGATGTGCGGGTTGGTTACCCTATTAACTACACTGTACCCATGCTACAAGACCAAGTGTTATGAGTTGTACTAAACAGAGTGCGCGGAAGAATTCTATAAAGAGAGCGTGATCACGGAATGAAGAAACTGTTACGAATAGTAATATTTTTTTCTTACTGTGCACTCCTCACCGCAGCAAAAGGAAGCATGCAGTATCGAGAGTGAACACGAAGAGTCAAAGTTGACTCGAAGCGTCAGACGGTTAAGGCGCATCTGGACCGTCGGAGCAGATGGCATCGGACAGCTGCAGGCAGGATGGCTTTGGCGGGAACAGTTTCGTAACTGAACGCGCCGCACGGTTGGGAATGAATTTGAATAAGGGAATGTACCCCTTAGAGTACATGGCTAGCTAGGTCGTTTCGTCTTCCCTGTACTCATATTTATATTTGCTGTATTTGCATGTTTTATTCATCTCAAGCATTTTACATCCACTCTGCTATTGAGGTCAAGGGCCCACCAACTATATTTCTCTGTGTGCGAACCTTCCCGAGTAGATCCTGGGAACGATCAATATGTCAGAATGTTATTATCTAGCCTGTAGTGGGGTGCTCTATAGCGGGTACAACCCAGTTAGGGTTTGCTATATGTATCCCAACTGCTGCTAGTGAAACTCCTCCTTTGCTCATTTCTCTCTTGCCTAGCTAGGTAAACCCTAGCTATGGCTCCTTGTTCTAGCTGCTATTCTCACATGGTAACAGAGCATTTACGCTCCTTGCCTGTGGGCCCACCACCTAACTGCTTCCGCTGCTGTTCTGCTTCTCGCGCGCCTCGGGCGTGCGCCGTCTTCTTTCTGGATTTTTTTTTTTTTTTCGTTTTTTCATCCCGCCGTGCGCTCCGAGGCGCGCGGCGATTTTCTGCCCGCCGTGTGCCCCGGGGCGCGCGGCGGTTTCCTACATGGCGCGCCCCCCCGTCGGCCCTCGCGTCGCCTCAGGGGACCCGCGCGCCACCCCCGTCGGCCCTCGCGTCGCCTCAGGGGACCCGCGCGCCACCCCCGTCGGCCCTCGCGTTGCCTCAGGGGACCCGCGCGCGCCCCTCGTCGGCGCTCGCTCTGCCCCGCGGGACCTGCGCGCCACCCCCGTCGACCCTCGCGTCGCCCCCGGGGCCCCGCGCGCCACCCCTGGAGCCGTGCGCGACCCCCCCGCTGCCCCGTCGCGACGCCCTGGGGAGCCGCGCGTGGCCCCCCGCTGCCCCGTGGTGGCGCCCTGGAGGCCGTGCGCCGTCCCCCTCTCGCCGTCCCCCGCGCTCCTGCCCCGTGCCACCCGTTTTAGGGTTTGGGGGTGAGGAGTGTGGGGGTGGCGGTTGTGGGGGTGCCGGTTGTGTGCCCCGTCCCCTACTCCTCCTCCTCCTCCGTCTCCCGCTGCTGCAGCTGCCGCTCAGGGGGGTGGGTGTGTGGGAGCCGAAGGAGTGGTGCTAGGGGGGTGACGTGGGAGTGGAGTAAGGGGTTCATTAGGGGGTGTGTGTTAAGGGAGTGGGTCAGTTGGAGGAGGTTGTGTGGAGGTAGCTGTCGTGTCGCCTGCAGCGCCTGTAGTCCGTCGCCCTTGCTTCGGTAGCCAGTGAGCCTGTTGCACCAGTCGCCAGTGGGTCCGTTGCTCCTGCCGCTCGTCTTAGCCGCGGAGCCAGTCACTCCAGTAGTCCGTCGCCCTTGCTTCGGTAGCCACTGAGTCAGCCGCTCCTGTGCCCGTGCCTCTGCAGCTTCAGTCGTTGCCTCTCATCTTCTCTCCTTCCACAGTTCCTCCTCCTCCTCACTTGCCCTTTGTGAATGCCTCTAGCTTTGCTTGCCCTTGTGAACCTTCTCTATGATTACCTGCTCATTGTGCTGATTACACCCCACTTTGGCTATGGGGGTGTGTCAGAATGTTATTATCTAGCCTGTAGTGGGGTGCTCTATAGCGGGTACAACCCAGTTAGGGTTTGCTATATGTACCCCAACTGCTGCTAGTGAAACCTCTCCTTTGCTCATTTCTCTCTTGCCTAGCTAGGTAAACCCTAGCTATGGCTCCTTGTTCTAGTTGCTATTCTCACACGATCAACTTCTGATCGTAGCATGGTATGAGAGCGGCTCGGGAATCCTTCGCACTGCCACTCCCGAAAATTGCGACATTCGGAAAGTGGCGTCTGGCACACGATCACGTGTGAGAATGGCCGGAGGATCTGGTGGTCAGACTAATCTGACGGCTGAAGCGCAACCCAACCCGGCTGCGACAAGCGAGAACACGACAACGATCGGCACCGAAGTCCTCGCACAACTCCTTCAGCGACTCACCAGCTTGGAGCAAGGGCTCCAAACATTACGGAACGGCGATGCGGGAACATCCTCGCAACCATCTCAACCGGCCCCAACTGGGCAGAACGCCGTCCCGCAAACCTTCTCCCTCGACACAAATGGCTCAACCCCCAAGGCTCCCCGTCCCAGTGAGGAAGCAATTCTCTCAGCACAATCAAAGTTTCTCAGCATATCAAAAATAAAGACAAGTACCTGTTTCGACGGCAGAGACTTCTATACCTGGAGCTTCGAATTGGAGCTCTTGCTGCAGAACGCCCAAATCTATCATTATTTCGACGGGAGCTACGCGGAACCCGCTGAGGACACCGAAGACGCCAGGACTCGCTACTACAACGAGTCCCTGATGGCGTACGGAATTCTCCTTCGCAACATGTCGCCGGCGGAGCAACTAAACATCCGATCGTACAAGACATCGGTCGCTCCAGCCCTCGACGCCTGGCGCCACCTGAACGGCGTGTATCAGCCGAAGGACTCCGTTTCCTCGAGCCGACTGCTTCAGCAGCTACTGGAGACCAAAATGGGAAGGTCAACAGCTACATCAATCGCTGTCGGAGCCTCCGCGATCAAATCGTGAAGTTAGGAAGTTCGATTTCCGAAGAAATCTTCGTGAACATCGTGCTTCAAGGGCTTGGCCCAGAGTGGCGGCCCTGTAAGGCGCTACTCCGACAGCAGGGGGTCATCTCGGAGGCCGCCCTCTGCGCCGCACTTCTCGTCGAACAACGGGATATGGATCAGCAGCGACCAGCGCCACGACGAGAAAGAGAACGGCTCGCCTTCTACGCCGACAACACCGA